TATCTACTCAGATCCTATAAATGCAAACAAAATATGGAAATAATATCGCCAGGAAAATTTAGCTCGGGTATGACAGTTTTGCCTGAGTGCTTTGTCTGCTCGAATGGTAAACTCATCCAATCTTCTTAAATAAGCGATCTTTAACATTGAACATTGGACCACTCGGGCCCCCATGGGCTACATTTGGTACGTCTGAAGTCGAATATCATGGCTGAACGCTTCTTCATTTGTCACCATTTGAATGGGCACAATTCGAAGGACAATTTGTGCAATTCGGATAGTCTTAGGCGGTCCTCGAATATACATTTAGAATGCCCCAGTGCATTTACTGGAAAAACGACCCCTGGTCGATTAGAGGAAATTTTTACCCGGTCATACCGGTCCAATGACGTACGCTTTCCGAACATGCAACTGTTAGGAAGAATACGTGTATTTGATGCTACCTATGATCAATTTAGATAAATAGCGATGGCACTTCCGCTTCTCTAAATAAAGACGCCTTTAAAGTGTACTTTCTGATCTATTTCATCTTCTTCGATAACTACCTAATCTATTTATTGGATACCGCCAGCCAACCGAGACAGCTGAAGGGCAGCTTTGACGGCCATGTATACGTGTTTCTAGCAGTACAAAATGGCACGTTTAGCTATCCAGATTACGTAGTATCCATATTATACTCAGTTTAATATAAACGCTAACTAATCAGAAACACAGCGTGTAAATAGGGATTAGACCTCCAACAATTTCTGCTCATCATTTGTTAGCTTTGTTAGGATTACAGTAGAATAACTGTTGTCATAGGTAAATTATGTATATCGTTCGTAATATATAGGTGGGCTCCTGGATACTCATATACGCACATATACTAGAATAAAGATTGACGGCGTTATGCAATCCTGTCATTGTTGCCATCAGAGACAGTAGACAAGTACTAATTCATCTCACCTCATTTACGTATTACACACAGCCACAACGGAAAAAGTGGCATTAGCAGTATATCTATATCGAGTGGTGTGCTGGGCCTCGTTAGGGAGAGCAGATTTCTGGTAGCAGTAACGGTCACAGAACGACGACGCTGGCAGACGTTGTGGCCACGTAGGTAAGTAAGCAAGGTGTGGCTGCCGACGAGCAGAAGCATTGGGATGGGTGGGCAGCAGGGCCTGTCGCTGCAGCGGTGTAATTCTGCTGGTGTTATTTTATAGTAGCTATCATTGTGGTCGTTGTCGTTGCTGCTGTTGGCGGCAGCGTAGTGACCCTTACTGCTATGATGGTCCTGCGGCCTTTGCACCATCATAGAAGTGGCTCAGAGAGAAAGTAGGCACGAAAGCACTTCGAAACAGGGGCAAGTGTTGGAACAGCGTGTACATCTAAGTTACCTCTCCGCGCATCCGATGGCCAGTCGCTCCATCGGTCTCTTTTGGCTGCTCTTTCCTGATGTTGGCCTCGTTGACTAGCTAAACTCCCCCCCTGGCTCTGCTCTCTCTGGTTTTTTTTGTGCTACCGTTCATTGTAGTGATAGCTGCTGTAGTCGAATAGGAGTTGTGGCAGAAGCCGGTCGTTGGTTCAGCTCACGTCGGCTTTGTTTCCCCATTTCAGGTAGCTTGACATGGTCGAGTCGGGCTTACTTCTCCCGCATCGCAGAGCTGGCTAGTACGATGCTATCACTAGACATTTCGTAGACTCGACCGCTTTTCTTATGTCGTTTTACCCCCCGGCAAGTGGTTCGTGGCTTGTGGCAAGCTCTGTCTGATGTGATGATTTTACCAGACTCAGTCCATATTGCGCTAACCGGGACGACGTCAACATGTTTGCTCGCCGGAAGCTGGTCATCGGTCTTGACTGGGACGAACAAGTAGATGAGAGATCTTTTACTCACCGCTAACCTACTAACCTGCTGACGTGTGGGGAACACAGAACGATAATCAAATTTATCAAGAAATACACCCAAACGTTGTTCTTGTTTATTATTACGGAGGGTATTTTCAGACGATACTTTATTATTACCGCAATGAACAGCGGTAACAGTTAAATTTTCCTGTTTCTGTTAGGTGTCTCTCTCCCCTTAAGCTCTCAGCTCCCCAGTGTGATGCGGATTTACTCGAACATGCAGGCCGATGGTACACTATAGACCAAGGTAAATTAGAGGTATGAACACATTAACAACGTTCTTTGTTAGGTATAATGACGCATTGTACTCAATAGCTATATTCGTTACTGTCAATAATAGACGGATAGGACCCTCTCAGACAAGTTTAACAGGTTTCCCAAATAAAACTCTACCAGAACCAACGAGAAGTCGCTAGACAACTAGGAACCTTGAGCGATATCGTAGCCGTTTCTGTATCGTAGTTCCTGACGCCTCGTTCATCCGTATCATGAACCGACTTTAAACACAACGCAAGACGGAAGGTCTCGTTAAATCGAGCGCTGTTATTGTCGTATAATAACGACTAAGTCGATAGCCACGAGAAACGAGTAACAGGACAAAAAGGGCCGAATAAACAATGACAAATTGGTTTATTACTGTTATTTCTAGCAGGCATTTGGAGCGTATCTGAATCGTTGGCTAAAGTACTTTGCTCTATTTTATTTAGTTTGCCTAGCCATTCACCAACACCGTTATTACTGCGATACACGATTTTCATCGCTCAGTTGTTGTTGCGGCTGTTGCTAGCACCTAAAAATACCTCAGCGACTATTAACGTTATTTGCAAGTGTTGTTGTTGTTGTTGTTGTTAGGATCTTAAAGTAGTAATGCGTAACAAGAACGGCTGCTAACCCAAAGTGTGCTTTCGCACTATCTTCGAAAGTTAAAAGAAACTTGGCGGGGCGACAAGTAACTTCTCAGCGGCTATCTCCAACATCTATTTTACAAATTATAGTGTCATGCCAACGAGATGAACAAGTCCAATCGCTTTTACTATCAACTGCCTATTACGATTGAGTACCTAATTACTACTATAGATGACCTGTCATAGAATGAGATCCCATGTTGGCTCGTGCAGTCGGCTTTATTATTGCGGACGATTTTGCCAGAAAATCGCGAGGAGCTTTCCTTCAGCTTCGCTATCACAGCTAGTTACTATATGCCCTTTCGTGTTGGCGCTATAGGTCCGATCGATGCCGCCTCTCGTACCACTCGTTCAAACGCAGACATGGATTGCCTAGCGCATCTCACCTCAGTCGCCTCAGGGGCTGGCAGCAGCCTTAAGAAGGCCGCGTGCAAAACAGCGCCGACCGTTCTCGCCTCGTCAGCGCTGCTGCTGCTGCTGCTGCTGCTGTTGGTACTTGCGGCGGTGGTCGGTCAAAGCGCCAGTCAACTATGACTATAGAGCCCACTCGGGCATTAGGGTATGTTGGGAGAGTGTGTGCTAGCAAAACGCTGTATTGCCTAGCTCGCTCTGCCTGGCCTGTGACTACTCGGTTAGTTCGGCAGCTCTGCTGCGGGGCGCCGATCGGAGGGCGGAGCCAGCGGCGGAGAGCTCCGCCGTAAGCCCGCCCAGTATTTAGCGAGAGACCAATCAGCTGAAAGCGGCGCGTCGCCAAGCCGAACTGACAGGCGTCGAGCGTTGTGCACAATCTGCGAACACTTTCTTGTTTGTAGTGTGATCATCATATCGTTTTAGTAAATTTAGTGCCAGTTTGTTTCTCGGCAGCAAGTGAGCAGCCACCAGGCGGGCGAGTAAAATAGTGGCTATTGAGTGAACGAGCTAGCGAGCCAGAGCAGACGAAGTGTCCGACGGTTGGATGGACGACAGCAACAGCCCGAACGAGCGATGAGTCGGTGAGGACAGCCAGGGTCGTGCGTGGTGCGCGAGAAACTCTGCGCCTCGTAGAACGAAACGAATAACAGCGGCCGAGCGGAGCGTAGTAGCAATCGTGGTATTGGTCAGTGAACGAGGGTCGTGGAATAGCGCCCGCTCATAGCAAGCACGATCCGAAGGACTTGCAATTTCTAGCAGTTAAATGACTGACTGAGGCTGGTCGTGCTAAGAAACGGCCGCAACGAACAGAAAGCGTGTGAGCTGGCAATGGTGTCGGAAGTAAGTCTGCGATCGCGTTTAGCCATTACCGAATAAAGCGAAGGAGAACAATAGCAATGAGAAAAAGTTCGTGGAACAAAACGCGTGCACGTGTGGCTGTGTATGTGCAGGATGCGGTAATAGACCATCGTCATTTATCGAATTAATTTGGGCGTTGCCACCGCAGCGGTACTGCTGCATCTAATATAAATGTAGGTGAACCTTGTCAAGTATCGCACGTCGCGCCCGCTACCGGTTTACGCCGAAGGCGACCTCACCAACGAACGGTGTGGTCCACCAGCCATTGATACTGATGCGGCCGCAGCAAAAGCACCCCAGTGCTCGTTGTCGAACGAGAAAAAGAGAAAGACTCTTCTAGTGGACCTTGTCGGCAGAGACCGACTCCAGATTCAACACTAATGATAATCGTGTTCGACGACCACGACAACCAATAATGAATGTTCGTGTGATCCGAAATCATCCCACCCGCCAGGTATCTCTCCCCACTTGGCCGCGTTTTTCTCCGAAGCGAATCGTGATCCGGTCTGTGTCGCGCAGTGACAGGTAGACGCTATTTACGGATGATAACCATTTAAACCTGCCATAACCACTTGTAAGAGCTATTGTGAACTCTTTTTTGGGAATAACAAATTTGGTATCAGCAATAACAACATCAGTATCAGGACTTTGAGTGTGGCCCATGACGCTCTCGTCAGAATCGAACACTGCTCAGTTTGGGCGGACGGACACAGGTCAATGTCAATAATATGGAGCACTAAAACTGCCAATAAGCAGATCACGGGCGGTCTCGATTTCTCGTGATCTTTTTTCAGTTTTGAGTGGTGCATATGTGAGGGAGCGCGTGCCCCGTGTGAGTTTTTTATATATATATAGATATATATATATACATATGTATACACATATATCTATATATATATATATATATATATATATATATGTACTGTATGTTCCGTTATTTATGTCTTTCTACTGTGCCACGAATGCTAGTGATTGTTTATGGGGTGAATTTGCACGATTCGGCCAGCGCGAGTCAAATAGAGTGACAGTGAATTATACTTATTGCGTAAAGGCAGATACGCCGTGCACTGTTGTTACTGCTATGATTGTTGATGGGCAATAATGTTGATTCGGAAGAGGCGGACCTAACTCACTTGATCTGCGATTTAAGAACTTCAGTACAACGTCAGGGACTGTAGAAAGTGCGCCGCAGCGCGAGAGCATCGTGATTAGAAGGTGGTGCTTAGGGCGCTGAGTTTACCTGTTGGAACAGCAGAGCATTTGTGTTGCTGGCGAGACGAAACAGACGGACTCAGGGTGATACGACTGATACGAAACGAGTACATCACAATGTCAACCCCGGAAGCCAATGAGGCCGCTTCCGATCGCAGTATTTCACCGGCCGAGAGCGACCGTTCGGTAGCCAGATCGTCTCCGATGGCGCTCCAACTGAGTCATCCCCAGCTGAGCGGACATCCATGTCTTCCCTTAAAGCCGCGGTTGTCGTTTAGCATTTCAGCGCTGATTGGTTCCGTTGGCGATAAAAAGGTCGAATCAAATGACCAAACAGACGAAACTGGCCACGACGGCGACGACGATGAAGGAGGCGTGGATGGCAATGACCACGAGTTGGATGGTGAAGACTGTTCGGATATCGATGTGGAGTCAGATGCCGAGCGAGAATCACGTACTCCCCAAAGTGAACATGAGGGCCTTAGTCCACTCCCATTAGCGCTGGGGGCAAATGGAACAGTTATTCGGGTGCCGGCGCAGAGACCACCGGGACCCGAGGGGGCTACATTTGCCGTAGGTGCGCCCGGCGCAGTGGCCGCCTTTCCATGGCCAGCTAATCCTGCGCTTATCAAAGATCATCGACTACAAGGTTAGTAATTGTTCGAGTACGCGTATATATTGGGACATTACGGTGCCTATGCAACTGTATTATGGCTATTGCCCATACCGTTCCCTGATCCGTAAGTTTATTCTTGACGGCCGCAGATTAACAGGCGTATTTTGCTCATGTAGTAAACATTGACTACACTTTTCATTTGCTACAAAACACAAGACGCTTTTAATTGAGTGTAGCCGACATTTTTCTGTTTGCGTACGATGCCACGGTTGACCATGTGCAATTTTTTTAGAGTATACCCGTATCCTCTATGAAGCTTTCCTCCGGGATAGCTACCATATCGTCCTTAGATAGGCGAACTTCCGTCAAAGCGCTGGTGGAAACGGCGCATATCTACGTAATGTACCGACGGTATTGTTATTTTACTCCAGTGCAACCATTCGCTACGACCGTTCGCTGGCTTTCTCGTGCATGCCATTATGCAGGTCCGTTCGTTTGCCGGCGGGTATCGTTTCGTACATGAAACGCTAAGGACAAGGGGCAGCCTTTCTGATTAGAGGATTTAAAGGGTAAATCACACGGCGGAAGCGTCAGCGGAAAATCAACCGCTCGAATAAATAGGAGTGTAGCTAACAGCTAAGTAGTTGCTACGGATGTATTGCCGACGGGGCTGGACAGTAGAAAACAATCTAGTGAAATATTATATAATGAGGGCAAATCTGACGAGATGGAGCTAGATTGTTTATGTTGGTCTTTCTCATATACATTTTCACACTATTGAGAGCCTTGATTGTTGGATACCGATGCAATTAGGATCAACCATGTTGAATTTGGCCAAATACTTTCATACTATTATCATAATAATATGGCAGCAATATAACGTCATTTGTCATCGATAAATTCGTATCGCAAAGAGGGCGCTTACGTGAATCAAAGGTAAACTGTAATCTGAACAAAGATCTGAAACGGATGTAGATACGAATTGTCGTATTGCCCATATATAATTATTGACGTCCCTATACTAGACGCGAATATTTTGTTTAATGGGAGACGAGAACCTTATAAACGGCATCTATGAGACATAATTTGACCGACGAAGGAAACATTTGTTGAGATAATTTATGTCAACATCAGAAAATACTAATGATAATAACCATTTACCAACTATTTAGTTCAAGTATGAAGATATAAATGGATATAAACAATAATAAGGATAATAACCATAATTCATATTAACTTATACATTCAAATAGAAACTGTAATTAATGATGGTTGTCGAAATTATACTAATCATAGTCTCCAAGCCCAGTTTCAGAATCGAAATTGATTTACAATTGAAGCAATAGATTTGAGGGGCCCCCGCACCCGGACACAACTGGCCAATTGTCTCTGTGAGTATGTAAATATGCCTCTATACACCTGTTGATGTTGCCACGATGACTCTTTCTACTGTTGTTACTGCTATTGTTGTTGTCGTCATTACCACCATCGGTACCGTTACATCTCAGTTGGGACATAATGATCCCCCGAAGCACTCGGCGATCACCGCTGACCAAACCGAATGAAACAGCCTCCCTATGCTTCGGGAGTCCTTTTTTTTTTTTGCTAGTCTACACCTCAAATCAGATTTGAGCTTCCTTCTGCCGTCGCTTGACTCGTCTGAAGTGGACACCAAGCGTGGCTACATCTTTGCTTCATCTTCGTGTTCTTTAGGGATTTTACGTGTTCGAGACGATGGTACAAGGGGGATGCGGTTTGGTTCAGCCAGAGCCAGGGAGACCTTCGCGGGGGCAGAAAAAAGGCCTCAGATGTGTGTGTGTATACACGGAGCTAATGCCCACATTTGATCATTCGCGCTCAATTAATTGCCATTTGAACGTTTCGCAGAGGATCTAATTCACGAAAAGCCCTAATTAACAGGTAGCTCAATCTGTGTCTATGTAGAGCAGTCAACAGATAGGTTTAGCAAATTATCACGCTATGACGAATTTATACGTCACCAACTTCGTAACTTCGATAACTACGTCTTGTACTGAGCGTTTCGTTCTTAAGAGATATACAACTTTCGTCAGGAGGGTTAGTATCTGACTGAACGGTGGTCGCCTATCGTGCAATAGAACCGTATTACGCACGATATATAACGGCCTTGAAAAAACAACTTTTCAATGCAGTGTAACCAGTAGGCACAAGGTAGCCTTCAAATACATTTCAATATTTTAAAGATAGGCACGTCCACGGGATCAAGCAGCTACTGACTCAATAAAAATAACGTAAACACAAAATACCCGTACGGTAAAAACTGAATTGTCAACAATCCTCCCTTCAATTTTTGCCGATGAAAAGTCTAATCGGGGTGGTGCTAAAGTAAGATCAGATGTTTAAATAACAGCAAAAAAAAGAGACAGAAAGGTTAGCTAGGACAGCTGAGCATCTAGGAAGGTCGTAGGTGTTGCTTGTGCGGGAAAAGCAAACGTATGACGCGTTTACATTGGCATCGCTTTCGGACATTTTTCATCGGTGCACAGACATTTTTTATACCGCGTATAACCTCCGTTCCATACTTTGTTTGTGGAGCGGTCGACTGATGGAATGTCTGCTGATACTGTTTGCCTGAGCAAGCCCCCTCTCGGCGCTCGGATATGATAAAATGGCGGATGTATTGTGAGGTGAGATCACAGTGTGTACGATACTGATTTAAATAAGAATTTCATTCAGTGAGCTAGTCAATAATCATAACGCATAAAAAAGATATACAGACGGTGTATAAAAATCCCCTATATAGGAAAATCAATCCACGACTCCAGGACCACGCTGGGTAGCGACGAACAAAAAACACTCTAAAGACTTCAGAGCCTTCTCGGTTCTTGCTGTCTCCTAAATTTACCTGTCAACTTTTTTTCGTCTCTCTATTATATACACGCAATAAAACTGTCCGAAGCCAAGGTTACAATAAACCTCGGCAATTTTGGTCGCGGAACACCCCTACCAATTTTACCAATTGTCACCAAATAGTACGAATCAGGGCAGCAGCTAAAAAACTGCGCCAGGCTGAAGCGCTGTAGTGATTTACCATTGTTGCAATGCTATTACATCTATCATATCGTATTGTCTGTTTAGTAACGTGTTCGCGGCCAGTGACGCTCACTCTGGTTGTCTAAGTTAAGACGCTCAAATCCATCGAATATAGAAAAAGAACTGGATCCGTAGATCGGGAGCGAAAATAAATCAAAGACACGAAATTTCGTTTATACTTCGCAAATTATCTGGTGGCGATTACCAATAATCTCAACCATTGTTCCCTTTCTTCGAGACTGTATTTCTGCATAACGAACTGCGAAGGACATACTTATCGGTGACAAATAGGTGCTATTGTATTAAGTCGTTTATAAGGTACCTGAAAACGCTGTCCCGGCATGTTGAAGTCCATCTAGGCTCGTTTACCTGCGACAGTGTGCCGACAAGGGACCCCGACGGCTGATAAGCTAGTACCTGAACCGTTTTCGGTAGAATTGGTGTCGTTCGCTCCGTTCGATTTCATGATGCGTGAGCAACTGCCCTCAACTTAGCTAACGTATGCATTAGGTAACTTACTTGTAGAATGGCCCATTTGTGAAAAATTGTGTGGTGTTAGTTAAACCAGTGAGTGATTTTACGCTTCGATGAGCTTCGATCACTTGATGGTTTCATAGAATTAAAGGCGCTAGTCAATGATCAGGACGACAAAAATTACGAAAGGAAATAGCAAGTGTGCGAAAAAGACACGGTAGCGCCAATCTACTGTTATAACTCATGTCGATGACAATGGAAATAGATCGAAGAAGCAGAAGATATCGAACGCAAACAACACGTAAACGGAACAAGGGCCGATGATGCAATGTGAGCATACGATCGGAAATAAATCGCGCTTGAGTAAAGTTATTTGTGTATATAAAATGAGAAAACAACTGAATCTGAATGTGAGTATATTGATTCTGGTCCTACTTCATACCTTGAGCCGATTTTTCGAAACAAACGCTCTGGTCACTTTCTAGATCCGACGTCACACAGCGTTTTCACGCTTCCCTCCCTACATGTATTTGTTGGAGTCATAGAGCAAAAAGTAATAAACGAATACATAATGATACCAAGAAGCAGTTGTACGTTATACTCGCCTCTCTTATGCTTCGGCTGGCACCGTTGATGCTGCTCCTTTTCTCGCTCGTGCAACTACCTTGGTCCGCCGCCTCCTAGTTTGCTTTTGTTGTCGACGTAATAGCTCGCAATATGTCTACCATCACTGACTATTAATCATATAGTCTCGTAATAATGATACGCATCTGCTGGCCACGTCGCGTTACCTTCTTTGGCGCTCCTGTCATCATTGCTATCATGTGACGGGTGTCGCTGCTGCTGTTGACGTTGTTTTTGCCGCTTCTGCAGCTCTCGCCGACGAAGTGGTGTTACACTTCAGAAGTGGTCCATTTTGTCTTTCTTTCCTGTCAAGTGACTAACGCACTTGGGCAGGCAGACGCAGACTGTGAATGCAGGTCAATAAGTCCCGGGGCAGAAATAGCAGCAGCATACTGAGCTGTAGAAACAGAAGCAGATGGTCCCTAGCGGGGCTGAAGTAAGGCTCGTTGCGCTGTATAGGAGCCTGTTGTTGTTAGCTGTTGATGTGGCCGTGGCTGTTTGGCCTCCAGCTAAACAGGGGGACGCGGACCTCATTGAAGATCGACGGAGTTAAATAACGCGGCAGCCAGACGAACCAAATCATACAGACGACGAGGGAAAAGGGGGTGAAAGACGAACGAGTGCAATGGCGAGGTGGCAGCAGAACTGTGTCCAAATCAAGAAAGAACATCGAAAGATGAACCAGGCAGAAGGACGTCCTTTGTGTGAGGATAGGAACCAGAATTCTACTATTTAGTTACTTGCTATCGTTTGTTTAATATAGCCAATCGAAATGAAGAACGTTGAAGTTCATGCACCCCACTAGCTGGGAACTTTTCCATTGCTTCCTTTTATTTTGCGAGGGTTCAGTTCGAAGGGCTGCC